TATTCAAAGTATAAAAATAAAGTACATGATCATAGGGGCATACCTCAGAAAAACTAGGTTAGGAATATATGCCTTCCAAGCACCAATAACAATAACCTAGATTAATGCTTATAACATATTCACGACAATAGAAAATATTCGCAGAAAAACTCCATGAGCTTTGGAGTAATCTACTTTCACTAGATGGAATCAAACTTCTACATAAATCCACTCGTGTACAAATAGAAAAAATAATGTCTCAAATAACAACATATTCATATTTAGGAGTCACACCATGAGCCCTAATATTACGCTCACGTCAAATAGCATAAATCGAAGTTGCAAACATCAAACGAATAACAATGGACGACACTGACCATCCATGAAATTGCTCCACCCAAGAAAGAGTATCTAACGAATTCTGCTGAACCCAGCATAGGTTAGATTTTGCATCCAAAGTATGCCAAACACGCTCAGAAAATGGGCAAGCAGAAAAAAGAAAAAAAAAAAAAAAAGATGATCCAAATCCTCCTCCGAACAACCACACAGCACACAACGTATAAACCGTACCAAACCAAAGCGAAAAAGCTTTGTCTATGTATGAAGGCCACCTTGAATTGCTAGCCAAAAGACTGAATTTATATTTTTTCTGCCTGGTTCAGATTTAGCATTCAAGGTATTTCTTCCTTTTCATTGGTTACTGCTGTAATGATCTGTCTCTGGTGGAGAAAGGTTTCTTACAGCTTATGGAATCATATATTCACTTGTATTTTTGAGCAAAATATTTAAACGACAGCACTTTATTAATAGGCTGAGTAAGAGATACTTGTGTTGCAATATTTTGTGAAGATTTAATTCGACAACTCCAAACTAAATTTGCTGAGACCAAAATTTGTACGAATGATTTGAGGTGTTGAAATGTGAGAATTCTTTGGAAAATAAAAAATTTAGCTTTGTTTTCTTAGTTTATATTTTATGTCAAAAGTTCCTCTTTTTATGTAGCCTATACGTAGGTTGAAAGCTATTATGGTTCTTATGGTAGGATTTTTATTTTTTCTTTTGTTTATGAGTTTTTTGAGGAAGTTATATTACGTTCAAAGTAACTTCTTAGCCTAAAGAAGTAACTGGAGGATCATAAAAATCACTTCTCTGCATGAGCGCAATCGATTTTCTGGTTAAATACATAATGAGATGTTTTTCCGACTTTTTGCATTCACTTCTAGCTGTTTCTCCACAATTTGATCGACCTAAACAACATATACAGATCCCTCCTAAGTGGTCATGCTGAAGACACGGAGTCGTGGATAATTTTGAGATGAGATCCTTACGAATGGGATCAACTTGGCACATCAAAAGCATGGCAAAGCTTTATAGTCGAGGTGGCGTGTCAGGTTTGGCTATGGATGCCTCTATGATAGTTTCTACGATTTGTCATGCACCCTCTTCCACACATTAAATTCGTCCAAAAATCAACCACTTCTAGGTCTGGTTTCTCTTTTTGACTACTCAACTTTGTAAATTTTAAATTGTTAGTGCTTTGAGATTTGAAAGGAGGAAGAAACAATTAAACTACTTCTGG